CAGAATGAGAAACCCCTGGTGCATTTTAGATAGGAAAGAAAGGCAAGATATTCTTGATAACATGAAGTCAGACATTCAATATTGAAACAAACCCTGGGGGTGGAATCCTGAAGAATGATGTTTGGGTTACCTTGGTTACCTTGAGGGCAGATATGATTTAGGGCCATGAGAAAGCACAGTTAGTTAGTGGTGTGAGACGAATTTCTAAGAAAAGCTCTGCCCACCTGGCCCTGACCACAAGACTTGTTAGGAATAATTAATTATCTGTAATCATTTTCTATGGAAACTTTTATGTCTGCCAACTTCCTTCTGTAATCTCTTAAAAGTGATGCTTGAATCTTAGTAAAGTTGCAGCAGATTCAAATCTCATTAGAGTTGTGTCTGTCTGTCATTTGCCGAATCCTGGGTTCTCCTGAGCCTTCACCCCTGTTCTCCCTTGGTCTTCGATCTCCAAGAGAGTCAGTCCTTGGCAGGTGGCGCCCGAACAGGGACTTGAAGGACAGGTAATCTTTTCCTTCCTTTCTTTTCTTTACAGGACCTAGGATCGGATCTTACCAGGGATCTGCAGTCCGGCTGGTAAAGGTAAGTAATCTCGGTAACCATGGGGCAACATATGACTAAGGATGGTAAAATGTTTCTATCTGTTCAGGATTATAAAAAAGCATGTATGGATGCCTCACCAGCAATAGTCCAGGGTATGGCCTATGCTGCAGTCATGAAAGGACAGAAATTCAGCGCCTATGTAAAAAAGACATTTGGAGGAGGTAATGGAAAAGGCCCCTCCCAAGGAATCTCTTGTTATAATTGTGGGAAAACAGGTCATCTGCAAAAGGATTGCAGAAAACTCAAGGGCTGTGATAGAAAGGGCCCTCCAGGCTTATGCCCCCAGTGTAAAAAAGGGAAACACTGGAAGAATAAGTGTAAATCTAAATTGCATAAGGATGGATCTCCTCTTGATAAGGAGGATAAAGAGGATGAGAAAGAAGAGTCAAAAAACTGGGTAAGGGGCTCTCTCCTGGCCCCAAACAAAAGGGAGAGCATGAGGAAGAGTGGGACAAGTTGACTCCTCTCTAGAGTTGACTTCTTCTTTGAATCCGACAGCTCCAGAATTCACTATCCAAAATCAGCAAGGAGTTTTTCTGTGGAGGCACTTGAGGCCTTAAAAATTATAAAAGAGGCCTTAAATTCTGCCAGATTAAAACAAAAAAATTATAATCAAAAATGGTCTTTGCTAATATTTTCTACTAATTATACACCGACTGCCTGTCTTTGGCAGGAGGGAATATTAGAATGGATACACTTGCCTCATACTCAATCAAAGATGATAGCTGATTATCCTTTTATGTGTTCTTTGTTAATAATTAAGGGAAGACAGAGATCTCGGGAATTGTTTGGGAAAGATGTTAGGGAAATAATAACGCCATATAATAAAATGCAAATTGAACATTTAATTCACAATAATGACGATTGGATTATAGCTCTTCAAGGCTATGAGGGGAAAATTTTATTCCATTACCCATGTCATCCTTTAGTGGAATTTACAAAAAATGTTGAATTGATTTTCCCGAGGCTCTGCTCTCCTGACCCATTATCAGGAGCTCTTACAGTTTTTACCGATGGCTCCTCCTATGGAAGAGCTGTGGTTTTTGTAGAAGGACAGAAGCCACTAGTGGAGGAAGGAGAACAGACTTCTGCTCAGCAAGCAGAAATTAAAGCTGTTATTTTAGCCTTTAAAACTTTCCCTCAAAAGGTCAATTTATATTTGGACTCGAAATATGTTATTAATCTTTTTTCCAGCTATAGAAACTGCTTTACTTTCTGGAAACTCTACCATTCTTCCATTGCTAAAAAGGTTACAAACTCTTATTCGTCAAAGGTCTAAAAAATTCTTTATTGGTCATATAAGAGGACATACCAACCTGCCAGGACCTTTGGCTCATGGTAATGCTATGGCAGATTTATTGACAAGAATAGCTGTCTCCACAGTAGTGGAGGCAGAAAAAAGTCATGCTTTACATCATCAAAACACCTTGGCTTTAAAAAGAATGTTTAACATCACAAAAAACAAGCAAGGCAGATTGTTAAAAATTGTTCTAATTGTCCTCAAACCTATCATCCCTTAAAATTAAGGGTTAATCCCAGGGGACTTAAAACCAATGTCCTCTGGCAAATGAATGTTACTCACATTCCATCTTTTGGAAAATTGAGCTATGTACGTGTCACTATAGATACTTTCTCACATCTGGTATTTGCCTCAGCAAGAACTGGAGAAGCGGTAAAAGATGTGGTTCAGCACATGTCCCATTGTTTTGCTGTAATGGGCAAGCCTTTTCAGTTAAAAACTGATAATGGCCCTGCATATACTTCTAAGGCATTTGAAACATTTTGCCTTCAATGGAAAATAAGTCACCCTACTGGAATTCCTTATAATCCTCAAGGACAGGCTATAATTGAAAGAGCCCATCAAACACTGAAAAGTCAAATAGAACCGTTGCAATCTGCTAATACATATTTCACTCCTCATCATTTACTCTCAGATGCTTTATTTATTATTAATCACCTCAACACCGACGAACAAGGAAAAACTACTGCTATGGTTCATTGGGCAGCTGAGATTAACTCAAGTCTTCCCCAAGTTTTATGGAAGGATCTTTTGTCTTGTACATGGAAAAGACCAGATGTGCTCATAACTTCGGGACGAGGGTATGCTTGTGTGTTCCCACAGGATGCGGACTCCCCCATCTGGGTCCCGGACAGACTGGTGCGACCAGCGCCGCTGGAAGCGAAAAAAAAATCAAAAGGAGACAACAGCAGCAGCTGCTCCAACAAGTGACTTGCGGTTTGCAGAAACTAAAACTACGGGAGAAACCAAAAGACCGGCTCACTTGGACAAAGATTCGCACCTTAATGTCTGCCAACTTCCTTCTGTAATCTCTTAAAAGTGATGCTTGAATCTTAGTAAAGTTGCAGCAGATTCAAATCTCATTAGAGTTGTGTCTGTCTGTCATTCGCCAAATCCTGGGTTCTCCTGAGCCTTCACCCCTATTCTCCCTCGGTTTTTGATCTCCAAGAGAGTCAGTCCGCGGCAGGTGTGCATGCCACAGTGGGATGTGGGGATCAGAGATCAGTTTGTGGAAACCAGTTGGTTCCTTCCACTGTGTGGGCCTGGGGCTCACACTCAGGCATGAAGCCTGGGGACAGGAGCTGTTATACCCAGACATCCCACTGACGCTTATTTATCTGCTTTGAGACAGGCTTTCACGTTGCTTAGAGTGGCCTCAAACTTGCTAGGTAGTTGAATGTCACCTTGACCTTAGGCTCTCCTGCTACCATCTCCCAAATGCTGAGTGACAGGCATTTGTCACCACTTGAAGTGGTCCTAAGGATCAAACCTAGGTTTCCTGTACGCTAGTCAAGTACTTTACCAACTTGAGCTACATCCCCAGCCTTGTATATATAATATTTTTAAAGCAGTATATCTTGAATATGAGTTAATATTTAACAACCGGAAAACAAGCATGTGTTCACTGGAGGGAATGTTGCTACTTAATATTTTTCTTCTTTGTTTTTTTTTTCTTT